TCTGAATATTTGTTCCCCAAAGAGACCTTAAGCCAGATGATGGGAGCGCTCTGACTTGGAAACCCTTATATCCCCCCAGATACCTAGAAGCAGAACATATACAATAAACAACGAATGAATGACCACTGTTTTCATGACTTGCTCTCCAGTGTGTCTCCTTACAGACCACTCGAGAGCAAAGAGAAAGGTTTGTGAATTTCCGTAGAAAACCGACACCGAATTTCCCTCATAAGGACAGCCACCAAGTTATTTCAGGTGCACATTATGACAAGATACTAAGTGGGGCTTTATAAATTTAAAACAAAAATAAGGTCCTTGTTCTTTAGAAATAGCTTATTCGTTGCACATTATCCTCAATAGCAAAGCCCATTTTTACGAAAGAAAAATAATTATATTACAAATTAATCCAAAATCATTGGTATGGTTAAGATAAATGTTGATGTTATTGCAAAATACCCCCGCAGATTTAAACGCAGCCTTCACCTGACTGCACTGTAATAGAAGAGCAGCTCCTTGCACCTCAGCTTTGCTGAGCCAAAGTCCAAATCCACACCTTGAGAGTACAAAAGGGATCTTGAAGGATTCCTTCACAGAGCAAAATAAGGTCTGATATTGCCTCTTTTTACCAATATGCTGGGCTGTATTGACTGGAAGGCAAAAGCAGCTTAGGGGAGGAAATGAGAAAACAAAAATCGACTGTTAGGGGTAGGTAATATGAATTACTTACCAAGCAATTTCCACTGCTGGGTTTTCTCTTTGAATTCAACAAATGGAGAGAAACTGGAAGGAACAGCTGCAAGAAATGGATCACATAAACAAGCCACACAGAACAGAGAGGACTCAGAACAAGTAACGGGCATCCCTGAGCTCTGAGACAGCCTCTGAGTGTTCCATGGCACACCACGAGAGCAGGGACCTCCAAGGCATGGCATTATGCAAAGGCATAAAGGATCAGATGAGCAAAGCTACACTCTACTGCAAGAATTAATTAGACAAAAGGGAAATAAAATACTAACCCCACAAAAAAGAGCACCTTACCTCGGCTTTCTCCAGCAAGATACTGCAGGGCTGGTAACACCAACTCGGCCCAGTTGGGAGCCGCAGAGAACCAGCTGTTGAGGGAGCTGGCTGGAGATGACTGCCAATCCAAAACGCGCTCCTCCAGCTGAGGGAAAGTAAAGGCAGAACCCAGTTGGCTTTCTCTTCTACACCAGCAATGCCACAGATATGCCAGGGCAAGCTGGAGTGTATTTGTCTAGAGTTTGTCCAAATTACAAAGCTACAGAACTTCAGGAGAAACCCGGAGTTCTGCTTCTGAAGCTATGAACAATTAAAGATTTTGACAATTTAAAAACTTTGACGTGCATCTGACTATTCCAAAACTCTTACCATAGGAAGGCTAGCCTGACTCTCTAGCAGCAAGATCTCTAACAGAAGAGAGAAGAAGCTGGAAGATATTTCATTGATTCCAAGGCAAGGCTTGAGGTCTTCGAGGGGCCTAATGAGGGAAGAAAAATGTAAGAACCAAAAAGACCAAGAACATATCCCCAGATCGGTTCAGGCCCCCAAGCCCCTTAGCAGTCCTGGAAGAGTTCAAGAGTTCACCCTGAGCATCTTGTAATCTCTGCTGCTCACTTACTCTTCCTTGATAGCAGGAATGGCCAGTGGAGATGGGGCCTGTGAGAGCGGGGGGACCCCTTCAGTACTGCTCAGGGGCTCAGTCAGATCCTCTGCCTCGGATTTGATCATTTTTATTTTCTTCTTCTTCTTTTCCTCTTTTTCCTTAACCTTTTTTTTAAGGACAGCCAAGTCATATAGGGCTGGGAAGAGAAAGTAACACACGTTACAGAATTGTATTTCCTGCATCATGACGTAAGGGGTCTTATCTGCTTGTTCTTTTCCCAAGGCCCACTAGTCAAGGACAGAAAAGTCTCAATAATAAGACATTTAGATTTTTTTAACATCCAAACTCAATGAGTGACTTACAGCTTAATTTTAACATCTATAAAGAGCCAATGATCTGTTGTACTGATTTTAAATTTGTTTCCCACCTATAAATCCATGAGAGGCAGTAACAAAACAAAGGTTATCCACGCGTTGGAAGCTGTGATTTCATTTATTTTTGCCATAGGTAGACAGGTTCATGCAAACATCAGTCAGGTGAAGGCTACCTAGCGGGGACCCACAGTCATTTACCTGCTAGAGAGCCCTTCCTGCCAGCATTTACTCGAGTCATGATGTCACTGAGGGTCAGGTCCCCTGTCAAAAGGTCTGGGTGATCCTAGATACGATATTCAGAGATTTGGTTATAAAGGCCCAAAAAAGGAGCAAAAACTGATGGTGACTTTGAAAATTTACCTAACAGATACAATTAGGTGTTAAATACACTTGAGGAAACCATGTTGAATTAATAACACAGAGAGATAAAAAACGACTCTTCTTCATACTAGTGCAGAG